ACAGTGAAATGAAATTTTTATTTAATTACATTAACAAATCTTATTAAAAAAAAAAAAAAAGTGGTTTTAAATGGTTGCCATCACTGTAGATTTGGGATTAGTTTCGGCTTTGGTGACTTTTTCCATCCTGTTAACTAACATGTGCATTGATTATCGGCGTTTCCCCCATCTGAAATTACAAATGGTTAACCGGATTTAGACTGATTCTGTGACATTAAACTTTCACCATTTAGATCAGTGTCGAAGTGGGGACCTTTTATCTTGCAATTAATCAACACTCGTTGTTCCCACGGCTTAGTTAAGTTTTATCTCTTGGTATCTCGATACCCAAATCATACAAGGTTCGGTCACGAAATCATTAAATCCGTTATAGATAGATGACCCTGTTCATTTACCTGACACGATTTATCTATGGTATATCGAATTTTATCGTTCATTTTCTTTATAACGATCTTTTGACTTTTTATTTTTTGAACAGCATTACTTCCTCATCCCTCCTCCTCAAGCTCTTCTCTGTTTCTTATCTTTACCGATTTTCAATTTCTTAATCCTCATATTAAAAATAAATTAATCAACTTTTATTTTAATGATTAGTTAGTATTCATACGTTTTAATAACATTCATATGAATTATTATTTGCCACATATTTGTTTATTATTATTCTATTGAAATTGGAACTGGTCAGAGTCAAGACACTGGACTGAAGTTCCGACTTTAGGTTGGCGCAACCGGGGCAATTGCCGGCCGATCTTTAGAGGCGTTCGTCAATTGTGAGAAACTAAAAAAAAATACATAACTTATTTAAATAATTAATTTTATCCTATCAATAAAGCAACTATATTAAGAATTGTTGAGGAAATGTTAAATGAAAGAAAATTCAAATATTACATAATACAAATCACCTTAAGAAATAAATTAAATTTTTTAGAGGGGGGGAGAGGCGACGTCATTGTCCCAGGGCGCCGAATGTCTTAAAGCCGGCCCCACCCCTCTTTATTTCCGTTGATAGGAGTTCTTCCTGGAGGTACATCTCTATTTAGAGAGTATCTGATCCATCAATATAAAATTGGGGGAGAAATCTGGTAAAAATTTGTCCTGAACGCCTAAAACCAACATAAAGACCCTATTCATACCATGGTCAGCTTGAAGTCAAAGTCTACTGTATTTTTTATATGATTATCGAGTTCTTTGGATCAAATTTTTTAAAACAACAGATATTTACTTCAGATTTTTTTTTAGATAATTAATTATGGTATATAGATTAATACTAATTATAGAAGTGGGGTAATTCAGTGGTAGAGCACTAAGCTTCCAATGCTCAAAGTCTCAGGTTCGAATCCCGGCTGGTGGCAGAAACTTTATTTATTCTGTTTCATTGGCAGTGAGGCGACCCTAGGCTAGGGAGACCCTCCTGGGGCACACCCAGCCTCTACAAAGTGGGTACCCCTAATTGATTAAGGGGCAACCTGGTGGTTGAACGTGATCCTGGTCCAATCTCCTTTCTGCATAACCGTTGACCTTGAAACAGTACTTTCCCTAAATAGTACTGAACCCGAGATCCTTCATGGGTTGTGGTGGTACAGGTTTCTTTTTTTTTTTTTTTTTTATTAATACTTCTGATATATTCTAATTAATTATGATAGGATGGTGGGTTAAGAGTTCCTATATAAGTCGGGTGTTTTGATTTTGATTCAATGCTTTTATAATTTTATATATATTTATAGATTGGTAAGTGTTATTTCTTCTTTCTGCCTTGATATGTTTTATTTCCATTGAATTAAAGTTAAGCGATTAAGGGTTTCAAACTATTATTGGATGTACTTTGAGCCCAACATGTAACTTACTGTATCTAATTGTCTTATATACAGGTATTAAAATCCTCAAAACTCAAAGCTGCAACAGACATCCTGAATTATTATGTCACTGCATATATCCAATAGAAAGAGTGAGGAAGCTATATTATAGGACATTCTGGTACTGATATTGGCTGGGGAAACTAGTCTGCCCATTTAGTCCTTTTGTCAATCCCTGAGGGCTAACTAAAGGTTGTTTTATACTAAACCGAATGAGAGTGTCAAGGTTCATTTCTCAGATTCATTCAAGATTCATTTTTCAGGGCTACTGAGAAATAAGTATTGAATGAATGAGATGAGAATTCGAACCCACAATGTTTACAACTAGACACTCTGGGCCTCTCCTTGCAACGTGTCTGGCTAATATATTCTCATTGAAGGGGACTGGTATTAAAATTTAGTTTACCTGGATGTTGTTTATGTATTTGTTTAAATTTATTAGTAAATATTACCTACATTTTGGAAGTATTTTGGTACATTTTGGAAAAACATTGAAAATATTTAATTGTTGGGAACGATTTTATTATTAGCTGATGGAAGATTTTTTGTTATCTTCCTAATATACTTTATTGCTCATTTTCTGCAACAATGTCATAACTGAAGAATCTTGAATTTTGAGTTCATACCATAGGTTCTATTGCAATGATGGGTACTTTCAACTGATACAGTGTCCTGGTCAAATGTATCTCCAATTTGTCCCCAATGCAAATTGTGCTATATTTTATTTTGTATTATAATTTGTCTTAACTTTTATTTATATGTATTTATCCATTAGTTATACTTTATTTGAATGAATTAATTCAAATTGTTCTTCTGAAAAATCATTAATACTTAATTATGATGTAGAATACAATAGAAATAGAAAATATTTATTGGATATTAAGTAAATCAACATAAATGGTTCAGCTTCATTGTGGCAGACAAAACCTGTACTGCTTGAACAAAACTAACTTAATTCTTCAATTTGGATCCTATAGTTTTGAAAATTTACTAATTTTAGAAATCTGTCACTTCACTTGGTGTTGTGTTTAATGATATTTTTCTACTTCAACTAAATTCTTTCAACATATTAAGAGTTTAAAATTTAACAGTCGAAAAAGCTCATTAAACACTAAGTGAAGTGACAGATTTCTCAAATTTGTAAATTTTCAAAACTATAGGATCCAAATTGAGGAATTAAATAGGTTTTGACTATCATAATGAAGGTATACCATTTATGTTACTTAACTTTCTATATCCAATCTATTATTATATCTTTAAATATCCAATAAATATTTTCTATTTCTATTGTTCGATAAAAATTATTAATCTTAATGAACATTTTTTTGATATTTTCCCCATTGTTTAATGTTTTCATATTTTAGACTGAAACTGGTCAACATATTTATTCTATTTTTATATGTTTTAGTTTTTACAAATGAAGAATATAAATTTAATTTTTTCCTCTATGTAAAAATATTTTGAAAGATAAATCATTATTGCCTTGACAGTTTTTGTTGTCTAAATAATAATCATTTAATATATTTAATAAGTTATAGAACATAATTATACTTTCCTTTCTGGTGATATATTTTACAGTACACCTTGCTTATTTCGATAAGATTAAAGTATCATGTTTTATTATAAAATATAGGGATATGGCACTCAACTAAAGGAGGGATATGGCACATAAAACTATCTTAAAAACTTTTAAAAATATATTTAATTAATTATACATATTACTTCTGTTTTTTAATTGGATATTCAATTGTTTGTATTTTATTAAAATTCCAGAATTAATTCAGACCGACCCCTTAGAAACTAATAATATCATGGAATGCTTCTATTTCTAGTAGTCATCCATGTGTTCAAAGCTAATATAATGTGTATAATTTGTATTGCAGGTTTTAGGATATTCAAATGAGCTTTGCTCTGGTCTTAGGTTTTTGTGCGCTACAAGAATTCCCTAACAGGTCTTCTGGTACCAACCACTTTAATGTAAAACTGTCTGCCGGATACATTTCAACTACTCACAAGTCGCTTATAATGTTAGTATTACTTGAAGATTTGTAATTTTCCATATTTGTGGCCATAATAGAAAGCATTACCTTATAATGCATGCGTTAGGTTTTTATTTTATTTTATTTTTTTATTGTTAATTTTGTTTGGCTCCTAGACTCTTAATAACGATAAAAGTTATTATCCTCAGGTCTTTAATGCTATGTTTTATCATTAAAAATATTTTAAACTCACGGGGTTGGTTAAATTGTAAATGTTTAGTTGAAATAGCACTATATTACGTGACTCATTCCCCTTTCATATTTGTGTCTACTCTAAATTACAGCAGGCTTGACTCTTTTATTTATGTGTGATTGATTGACTCTTTTATTCTTCCTACCTATATTTTTGGTTAAGGTTTTTTTTGTTTTCTCTACTTAGAGCTTCGTATTGGGTTTATTAAATAAGATATAATTGTAAATTATGTTAACTGAATTATATTTTTGGGATGAGTAAAAGATAATTTACTTAAAATAAGTAACTATGTTCATAACATAGTTATGTTTATTTAGTCTCTTATGTTTATTTATTTATTTTTGTCTCTCAATTAATGTTTGACTTATATTTCATTTATATATATATTTTTCTCTCCCTGAACCCTTGAGAATTTCAACATTCATGAGCTTTGATAAAAGTATATTTTGTAGGTTATGAATATTTTTTAATCTTAGGTGATTTAGTGGTTAACTGTGTAAATAGAGGACATATCTTCTCTGGTAACATTGCACTAACTAAACTGGTTACCATTAATTTTTATGTTTTATAGCCCTAGATATGGTTTACATTTTATTAATGCATTTTTTAACAGTAATGTCAATATTTAAAGATTGAATCCTGGATCCTGCTTTTCCGCACAACTTTTTCCTTTGGGAATTTAGACCGCTACCCATAATGTATTATATATCAATTTCAAAAGGAATAATCATAATAAAATACTATCAATATACATTTTTATTGATTTCATGCTTAGTCTTGTTGATTTATGTAGTCATTGTAGTTCTATTTCCTTTAGTCTAAAATGTATGGTTTAAATGTAGTTTTTTCTAATCCTTCAATGCTCAAATTATTATAAATTTAAATTCAAAATTTTATGATTGGCTATCTTTACAGATGGAAGTGGATGATGCACCTGATTTGACTGTTGAAGAAACAGTTGCAAAGAAAAGGAAGAAAAAACTAACTGAAGAAAGCTTTCTTCCTTTACCAGATGACGTAATTGCTGATTGCACACCAGAAGTAGCAGAAGAACTTAAAATTTCTTATCAGTTAGTTTATTTTTTACTATTTAATACGAACACTTACTAATTTGTTTTTTAAACCATGTTTTATGTATTACAACATTAATGTTTGTGTTAATATTTCTATTTATTTTGCTAATGCAATTTAAAATCACTATAAATATGTGGCAGAAAAGTTTGTCTGTTTGAATGCCTTAATTTCAGAAAATACCATCCCAATTTTAAAAATTCAGTTTGCGTTAGACCGTTTATTAAGAAAGACTTTATGGTTTACCTGTGCTAGGATCCATATGGACGGAGCAGTAACCTTAAACGTCCACCAATCTGTAAAACAGGCAATTTTGCTTGCATCTCATCCCATAAAAATTGTTTCCTGTCACACTAAATAAAGTGCAGGGATAAAGGTTTAAGTATATGGGAGGTGACTTAAGAGTAAACTTTCTCATGGACAACTATACACTATATTATCTAGATCATATAATGGAGAAAACCGGTATATTGTCAGTTTAATAAAAAAAGTCATTGAATACATTTTTGTTAATTTTCACCTTATTAATTAGTGTAAAAATACAGTAAGGTCATCAGTATGACACAAAACCTTTTATATATCAAATGCAGTTTCTATAAATCATAATGTTCTGATTTCATACTGAGAAAATCCATCAAAGTACTTAGTGATTTAATTTTATGAAATGTTTGTAAATGACCTACTGAAAGTTGAATGTAAAATAAAGATGTTTTGGCGGGAATAGCTAATAGCCTTCCGCTTTTATATTGGGGATTAAGGTTATTTACACTCGTCAATTATTAAAACAAAACTCCTGCACTGGATATCGACTTTTTGAGGGTGTTTAACTGTTGTTGGGAATCTAATACTTTTGTGACACTGTGTGAGAAGAACCAATAAGAATATATATATATGAAATGTGGGACTTAGTAAACACTTTGAATGAATTGACTCACCTGGTTTATTCTTCGATTGTGAGGCCTATGGGACAACTAAATAAAAGGACTATTCACTCCTGTCTAACAAAACAAATTTATTTTAACAACTGATAATGAATATATATAAATGAACGGTCAGCTTGATATTCTTGGTCTTCAATGTAATAAGCCTCTCTTCCCAGATGACGTCTTCTCTTGTTCCTGTCCAGACCTCAAGTGATTGGTGTCCTCTTCGCTATCTGTTCCCAGCTACCTGCTCTGATCTTTTTCCAGCGTCCCTCCTCATCGATTGTTTATCGATATGAGACCTTTCCATGAATAATTTGTCCACTGCATAATTGAGTACAATTCACAGTGCAACCTCACATTCCTATATATTATATATTCCTTCTCATTCCCTCAGCCAATGTCACAAAAAGGAGTAAATACCGGGGGATGTCTACTACATGTTACTTAATTATGACTTTTTGTAATAAACCTATGGTACCACCTAAAACTAAAGAGAACTAAAAATACTGTTTTCGCCTAGTTACTGTAAGTTTTCTTCAAATAGTTTAGAAGAGAGTCGTTTACTCTTCTCATGTATCAGATGGGCATGTGTAATCTAAATAATTTGGTTTAAAATACCTGTGAGGATCAGCAAATTTTTAAAAAATTCTATATGAAACACTTAAATTTTATAAAAAAATTTAAAAAATCAATACTCCAATATTCTTTGACTAACTTTAAACTATAAATATACAACTCAATATGGTATGCCACTTAAATCTCTGCACCTTTCTATTATCAGTTTACTATTATTATCACCATTGACTCCTGGTGGAGCATAGGGCATTTCTGAGTGTAGTTCATTCCGCTCTTTTCGCAATAATCATTTTTACTTCTGGCCAAGTCTTGCTAGCCCGGCTCAAGTCATTCTGCACAGATCCCCGCCATGTCTCTCTAGGTATTCTTCTTCTTATTCCTTGGGGATTCCATTTCAAAGCTTCTTTCTCGATGGCACTATCTGTTTTCCTCAAAGTGTCTCCTATCCATTTCCATTTCTTTTGCCTTACTTCAAAGTTGATAGAAAGCTGCTCTGTGGTACTCCACAGATTCTCTCAGGCCACCAGATCCTCAGGATTCTTTGCAAGCAATCTTGAAGGGATCCAATTGATGAAGGCCTGAAGAGGTCGGGTAACGTTTTTAGTCACCTTCCATGTTTCGCTGCTGTAGAGCATAAAACATAAGTTTGATTCTAAAACAACACAAGTTTACTACAGAAAGTAATTAGAAAAATTTAAAAACTAAAATATGAAAAACAGCAAATTAATCACATTCAAATTAATCATAACGAGATTCATCTTGCCGATGACATGAAATGCGATCAGGCTCAATAACAAAAACGGTTTTGCACATTTATTTTTTACATTTGCAACATGTTTTCGTAATGTTTTGTTCTTTTTTTCTTCCACACACATGAAATATTCTCATGACATTTTAACCTTTCAATTCAACCATAAACATCAAAAGTTTCCAAGAAAAACTACTGTGGGTTGTAAAAACAACAAGGATTAGATAAACAAATACATATGATTACCGCGACATCTGGACACTTTGAGAGATTTGACAGTCTAATAACCAAGAATGGTGCATTCCATTCCAGCCAGCCTTCTCGAAGGTTAAGGTCTTTTTCTTTGTAAGTGTAATCAAACAAAAATTAGTTATGATTTATTCTTCTTCGAATCTATCTTAGTAACTTATTTTATTAATTTTTTTCAGACTCTTTCAAGCAATCATGAGGATACCAAAGATAGAACCTTTTCTTGATAAGCCGAATGAAAATTTATTTGGTATGTCTACTTACTATAAAATCATCAAAAAACCAATGTGGTTGACAGAAGGTATGTATACAAAAACTAATTTAGTTTCATATGTAATATCTTTTTATATTTCATAGGATAGCTTTATAATGCTTATTCATCCAAGCGGTAATAGCTCATAAACCCTCAGCCACATAATTAGTTATGGTTTTGTTAAAAAGGAAAACTTTTATTTCTTATTCATAATCTTTACATTTTAATAGATCAATTACAAGAAATTTATTAGAATTATTTCAAAAAAAGAAGTAGGAAAGGCAAGTAGTTAAATACTGATATAGCGAGTGTTTCACACTCCCTCCGAAATTAAAAAAAATCATTCGTTTGCAATATTTTATGCAATTAAGTATTACTTAATTTATTAACAATATTTTTTTATACCTAATTTAATAATTTCACTGTTTTCATATAATCTCTTAATTACAATTTTATTTTTTATGCAGACAATTTCACAAAATAAAATTATTTTTTCGAGTTGAGCAGTGTTTTTTATGTATCATCGAGGTATATGAAAAAATTATATTAACAGTAATTGTGATCTTTTTTGTCATCTTTATCTTCAGTTATATAGGAGTAGTGCAAATCATATTCCATGAGGAAAATACTCACTGTACAGTTAGGGGACAAAAAAAGTAGGGCACCTATGCTGTGCCGACCTTAGACATTTGGTGCTTCTGGACAATGATGTCATCTCCCTGCTCTATAAAAATTAAATTTATTTCTTAAGCTGTTATGTATTTTGTAATATTGGAAATTTCTTTCTTTCATTATTTCTCTAATACAATTGCCTTATTAATAGAATAAAATTAATTATTTTAATACATTTTTATATAGTTTTTAAATTCTTAACAATTGGTGAGGGCCCTAATGATCACTGCCCCAGAGCAAATGTCCCAGTCGCCTGGCCCCAAGGGCCTGCACTGCACCTATGCCAAGTAGAGGATTGTTTTTGACGAAATAATGCTTATCTATAGTATTTTTAAGAAGTATTATGTAGCGTACAAATTAATTAAAGATCGTTGATTTGCAATTTAGAACTTTGAATTGCAATTGTTGTTTACTCTCTGCTAATAGTTTTAATATGTTAGTATACAAGACGATTTTATTTTGTTAAATTTTTAGAATTGGCTCAAAACCCACACCATTTAGGACTTAAATATATATATATTTTATATTTTTGTCTTTCTGTGTGTCAATATGAGAATGTACGTATAAATAGTTCCTTTTATTTATTTTTTTTTCCATTACACCACAAGTAATCCTAAGATTTTATTTTATCTTAGTGTCTGCATATTATTATATAAATCACTGTAGATATTATTACATTTTGTATTAAGTTAGTTTTCTATTAGATAGCCTATTGTTTCTAAATTGTGTAGTTATGTATATATAAATATGTAATTTCTGTTCTTTTTTTTTTTTTTCATCACAATTAAGTAATTTTGAGAAGATTTTATGTTCATTTGTATATATATTTTATTTTTTACTGGTTACATATTTTTTAAATAATGTATATAATATTAAAATTTTTAGAAGTTAGTTTTTGGCCAGATTTGTACTTTACTTTGTATTAACTCATCATTGTTATTCTAAAGGGACTTAGTCCCAGAGTAAAGTTTAATTTTATATTCTCTATATATATACATACACACACACACACAAAATTTAAAACATTTTTTTATTTTTTCATCATTATCATTTATATATTAGTAATATCAGTCATTATCAGTAATCCAAAGAGGTTACACCCTTATGTTAATGCAATTGTTATATTTATGGAGAAGGTTAACTTATTTTTTAAAAAAACATTTGAGTAATGTTGCAAATATTCTAGAATGAAAATATGCTATTAAAGCTTCTATTAGGTTAACCATGTTAATAATTTGTACAGGCTAAGTTTTATTAGTTTTATGATATCTATGATTAAGAAGAAATGGCTGGGTTAAAAAAAGTTCTTAATAAAGACAATTATCAAGATTCTATTTATTCTTAATAGTGAATTATACACCATTATTGTGGAACTACTTTTCATTAATGTCTCTATTTTGAGCAACTATAATTATCCAAGGTAAAGGTTAATTTTAAATATTTTAGTGCAGAGGAAGTTACTTGGTCGAGAATACGATGGAATTGGTAGCTTTGTTGCTGATGTAAGACTGATCCTTGAAAATTGCTACAGGTATTGGGGTGCGACCCACAAGTTTTCAAGAAAGGCTCTGTATATGGAGCATAAACTTGAACAAAGACTGTCAAATTTGCCTCAGTAAGTAACTCTTTAGTGGGCTATAAAAATAATTAATTTTATAGAAGCCTAGTACTTGTGGATGCGTGTGTTGATGCGTTATAGTAAATATAACTGTGTCTCTGTTTTCCATCGCAGTCCTGATCTTTATTTTTACCCTGTTTATTAGGTTTTATTATTTATTTATTTTAATAAGGGTTTTATTATATTATTATTTATTTATTATGCCATGTTGGCAACATTTTGTTATAGTTTCATATCTTCAGCCATTGTATTGAATAAAAGTATTATCTAACATAATGGACTTAATTAGGGATAAAAAAGAAAGTAAGCATTTAGTGGTTTCAATCATGGATAAACATAAAAATTCTATTTTTTCTCATTATTATAATACAAGTTTTTTTGTGATGAAACTATAAAAACTATATTATGTTTGATTACATTTCTTTTTAGGTGATATGTTAATTATGCACATAGTTAATATACAGGGTGTCCCGCAAGTAGAGGGAAATTTTTATAGGAGTAATAGCAGATCTCAAGGCCTACCAAAATGTTTATATAAACAATGTGCCAATTCTCAGCAGAAAATTAGGCAATCCAAGTTTATTGTTTTTTTTAAGTAAGTCATCCTTTTTTATGCATAGGGAACGATAACTGAAGAAATAGTTAATAATAATAAGGCTTAGCAAACCCGAAGGTTCGATGTTGATACCACCAATCGATGTCCACATTCTTCCATCTACCGGGCTCCATCTAAACCCAACCCCGTCAAATAAGCCTTAATGCAGTCTACCCACCTTTGCTTTGGTCTACACCTCGGACGCTTGCCAGTCGGTACAGCGCATATTAATTTTTTAGGAATTCTTTCGTTACCAAGCCCAGCGATTTTACATGCCCATTTTATTTGCCTCAACTTAACCACCTCAATTATATTAACCGGATGCAGTTCATGCAATTCAGCGTTGTGTAGCCGCCTAAATTCTCCGGTTGACTTGTCCTTTTTCTGTCTGAATATTCTGCGCAATACTTTATTTTCAAAAACTTAAAGACATTACTCATCCCTTAATGTAAGCGGCCTCGTTTCGAATCCAAAATGAACCGTAGGTAGGATAATGGTTTTGTAAATTCTAATTTTTAAGTTTCGGGACAGGAGGCGATAACTAAGTAACTTTGACAAAGAAAAATAACAAGCATTTCCCGCCTTTAGCCTAACCTTAATACCCTCTTTAACTTTGTTTTTTCTAGTTATCGTAGAACCTAGATACCTAAAATTCTGTACGTGTTCCCTAATACAACACATTCCCTTCTATATCGATATTATAGAAATTTTCGCTGGTTTTTCAGCTAACCATATATTTTGTCTTATCTGTATTTATCTTGAGTCCTAGTTCTTTACCGGCTTCCATCAATGTTGTATTTAGTTTTATTGTTTCCATGTCTTCGCTTAACAGTACCAAATTATCAGCATACCCAAGCACGGATATTGTTCTACCCAGCTTCAAACCTTTTTAGGTATGTATCACCCCTCTAATGGCATGTTCTAATGCCAAATTAAATAGCACAGGTGAAAGAGAATCACCTTGTTTTAAGCCCAAACGAATCTCAAATTTCCCGAATAATAACCGATTCTAACTTTATTGAGTGTTTCTGTCAAGCACATCCTAACTAGATTCACTAATTTTTTGGGGATCTCCTGCTTGATTAGAATATTTTATAGTTTCTGGCAGTCAATAGAATTGTAAGCCTTTTTGAAATCAATATAAAGCTTGTGAACAACACCGTTGTACTCTAATGTTTTCTTTAATATTTGTCGTAAAGAAAATATTTGCTCAATAGTTGAACGGTTCCTCCTAAATCCACATTAGTAGTCTCCGATAATTTCCTCGGCGTATTCCGTGATTCGATTAGTTAAGATTAACGTGAATATTTTAAAACATACCAGAAGGAGTGAAATTCCTCGATAGTTATTACAATCTGTCCTTTTTATGAATCGGAATAAGAATGGATTCTTTCAATTCTCCAGGCTATTTCTCATTCTCCCATATCTTTTTAACCAAAAAATGTATTTTATAAGATTTAAATTTTCCGATAGCTATTTCAACTTCCTCTTTACTTGGTTCTTCTATTAACGGTTAGGCACTCTGGTACTCTGAAGGAGGACACAGATCATTATTTCTCGTATTTAAAATATTGTCAAAGTGTTTCTTAAACTTACTCAATATGCCTATAGGGTCAGTGAGGATATTGTTATTTTCATCCCTAATTCCAGTCCTTACGGGTCCTAAACATTTATGTGATTTATTTATACCTTTGTACATGGCTCTTACGTTGTTTTCGATTCTATTGTTTCCTAGACCTATTACTTTATCTTGAAGACCTGGAAGTATTCAAGACTTTTTTTGCTAGAATGATTTAGAGCTTTTATTTTATCAGCTTTTCTTTTTTTGCACATGTTTAAGCAATCTTCATCAAACCACGGTTTGTTTTTTTTATTTTCCATTTTTCCAAGACGCAAGTTACCGGCTTCTTTAATATTATTATTGATCCCTACCATTAACTTACCTATATCATCACAGTCCTCTTTAGAAGGTTCTAAAGCTTCACAACTATTCTCAACTTCAAGCTCGAATTGATTTCTAATTGATGGATTTTTAATTTCTTCAAATTAAAATTCTCAGAATCGAAGCGGTTTTCTTTAATTTTTTGCCAAAGTTTCGTGATTACTAATTCATGATCTGACCATATCCTGCATGATCTTACCTCAATTATACCAGTTTGTCACATATGTTGTATCATGACATGATCGATTTGATTTTGTGTTTGCGAATCCAGTGATGTCCAAGTATATTTGTGAATATCCTTATGTTTAAATTTAGTATGTTTAATTATCAAGTTTTTCGATATGGCAAAATTTATTAGTCGAATTCCATTATCATTACTATATTCGTGCAAACTTTCTTTACCAATCGTCGGAAAATAAAGTTCTTCCCTTCCCACCTTTACATTCGCGTCCCCTAAAATTATTTTCATGCAGCTTCACGGTAGTTTATCATAAAATTCGTGTGGATCTGTACAAAAAGTGGGGATCTGTAGTATTGTTGGATATTAATAATAAAAAAAATCGCCAATAATTTATGATTTTTTTAAAAACATAACTTAGCCAAGTTTAGACGCTCAAAAGTCCTCTTTAAATGGTATTTTTTTTACAATGACAAATTCTATTTTCATTTGAAAATAATTTATCCAGTTTGCAGTTATCACTTCCTATGTATCAAAAAGGATGACTTACTTAAAAAAAACATTAGAATTCTATTTTCTGCTGAGAATTGGCCCATTGTTTATATGAAATTTTTTATAGGCTTTGAGGTCTGATTTGAGGAAATTTCCCTCTACTTACGGAACATCCTGTATACAATTTTTGTTTTGTATGATATTTTTTTTCTTTCCTTAGATAGGTTTTATATCAAAATTTTTATTTACCTATTCATGAGGACACCATCTGTGAGGTTATCCAGGGTATCTACCTTCAGGAATTTCAGAAAAATTCTGAATACATCGATAATATCTGTAAATTTTGCAGAAGTCAACAATTAGTTTAGTTTTCGTAAACTATGGGGTAGTCAATTTTGGCTATTTATATTTTATCTTAATTTTAACCGTTTATATTTTAATTTTATGATGGGCATTAAAATTAATAATTAAATTATTAGCTAATTGTTGCCATAATTATTAGAAGTTATTTCATTGGCAGGATCGTTTAATCTACTTCTCATCATTTTTTACTGGTGTTGAATTCAGAAATTTTCTAGAAAACTGTTAAAGCTCCTTTAATATTCAGCTTTACTCTAAATGTTGCTTTACATGAGTAATGCCAATGCCAATGATTTCAAAAATGTTTTTTTTTTTTTTTTTTTATCTATCTGTTTATTGAGTAATAATACATTTTGCCACACTTAAGGGCACTGAGTATTAAGGCTGAGACAGGCACATTCATACCATATATACAATACATACAAAAAAAAAATAATAATAATAAATAAGTAAATAAATAAAAAAAAATAAAAAATATAAAAATCTATATAAGAAAGGCAAAAACTATAATAAACTAGGAAATGTAACTAAGAGTTAAAATTAAATGAAATACAGAAATTCGTAAAGAAATTAAATAAATTATAAGTAATAGAAATAAATAGAAAAACATTCATACTTAAATACAATATTTACAATTAGGTAAGAGATCTCCGAGTCCAGCCCTTTCCCCCACGTGTGAAGGACAAAGCGAGACTCTAAGAGATCCCAGCGCTTCTCTCTCAACCGTGTCGCCGGCATTACCAGTCCGGTGGAGACTGAGAGAAGGCACTAAAACCACAAACACTCATGACTTGAGTGGAGAAGCTGGCCATTGCCAGAACTCCAGTGACGTCTTTACAAGAGATCTCGAGGCCACTGCCGTTTCAACCTTCGAGGAGGGTTGTAGGGATGACTGGAGCTAGATAAGGATTGTGCTAAAGGGTTAGGATGGTGGATTAGGTTCATGTGAAAATTTGAGAATCGGGATGGAATAACGTCAAGGATATAAGGGATGTAAAGGTCATGATGTAGAGTTTTGTTTGTAACGTAATAAGGAGCATTGACTATCATACGGAGGACTTTAGACTGAAAGGATTGGATGCGTTTGATGTTCGAAAATTTAGTTGTCCCCCACAGTACAAGTCCGTAGGTCCAGATGGGTTTGAGTATGGTCTTGTATATTAAGTTTGTTTTCTATTGATAGATTGGATTTTCTGTTAAGTAGTCTGTATAGCTGGCCAAATCGTCGGTTAAGTTCTTGTCTTTTAAGTCTAGTATGTGGGTTCCAAGTTAGTCTTTTGTCTAAAAGGAATCCAAGATACCGAACTGTGTCTGAGACTGGGAGAGGTACAGAGTTGAAAAAAATATGTGGACAGGATCTGCGTCGGAGAGTAAAGGTGACATGCTTGCATTTGGATTCATTGATCTTAATGCGCCAATTGTTGCACCATTGCTCAATTAGGGAGATGTGTCTTTGTAGATTTAAGGATGCAGTTTCAGGATCTAGGTGGGATGACAGGATGGCGGTATCGTCCGCGAAAGTTGCTAGAAGGGTATCGGGATTGGTTGGAATGTCAGCGGTGAAGAGGATGAAGAAGACTGGGCCCAAGACACTGCCCTGTGGAACACCACCCTCAATTGGATAATAGTTGGAGAATTCAGTGCTGCAGCGGACTTGAAAGGAACGATTTGAGAGGTAGGATTTGAGGACTAGGTACAAGGATTGGGGTAGGTGAGTTTTGAGCTTGAAAAGCAAGCCATCATGCCACACCCGGTCGAAAGCTTGCGCAGGAAGGCACTGGTGCAATATTGCTTGTTTTCAAGCGCAGAGGATATATGGTCAACAACACAAAGGCCCTGTTGAACAGTGGAATGTCTTGAGCGGAATCCAAACTGATGGGATGGGATATTGTGGGTTTCAAGTATGGATAGGATGCGTTTGAGAAGGATTTTTTCAAAGATTTTGGAGAGGATTGGGAGCAAGCTTATTGGTCTATAGGATGAAGTATTATTTACAGGTTTACCTGGTTTTGGGAAGAGGATGATTATGGAGTGTTTCCATGTCAGAGTTGAAAGTGTGTTGTGCGGAGGATACAGTTATATAGGTATGTGAGGAATATAATTGCTTTTTTGGGAAGTTGTCTTAGGATCTGGAAAGTAAGGAGATCGTGTCCAGGGGATTTTCGAGGTTTTAGGTTACTTATAAGGAATTTGACCTCAGAGGGATTGACAGCTTTAGGAGGCAAGGAGAGAGGAATAGGAGAAGAGAGGAATTCTTTAATTTCAGCACTGAGGGTGGAATGGAGTTCGGGGTGGGGAGTGAATGTTTTGGATAGGTGTTTGGCAAATTCTTCAGCTCTAGTCTCATCTGACGAAGCCCAGGTTCCATCATCGCATCGAAGGGAATGGGAAACAGAGTGGTATTTAAGGATTTTTCTGGTCAATTTCCAGAGGGAATTGTCATCGGTAGATAGGGAAGAGAGGTAGGAGTTGTATGATTGGGATCTAAAGGAAGCTAGTTCTTTTTTTATCTGTTTGGAATAATAATTGTATATTTTTCGATCATCAGGATGCCTGGTTCTTTGCCAGAGGGTCCTAGATTGGCGTTTGGATTTAATTAGGTCAGTAAGGTCTTGGGGCAGAGGATTCGTTTTACGGTATGTTTTGGAGGGAAGTGGTAAGGATGCAGTCCAAACTGCTTGTTGGATCAAGGTGGTGTAGGAACTCACTGCATTATCTAGGTCTTGAGGGGTTTTTAGGGATACTCTGAGGTCTATTGCATCTGCTATTGTTTGGCGGAAAAGGTTCCAGTTGACTGGGCCTCTGATGAATGAGGGAGGAGATAATTTGGGGATAGGAGATGTGGAAAGAGTTAGGTTTAGCGGACTGTGGTCTGAGGAAAGGTCATCAAGCCGTAAAACTGAATAATTTAACGGCCCTAGACCTTTGTGAATGAAGAAGTCAAGGAGATCAGGGTTACGGTTAGGATCGGTTGGCCAGTATGTAGGAGTATCAGGGGAAAGGATGTTGCTATTGTGGGAAATAAGTGCAGACAGCAATGTTCGCCCGCGGGAGTTCGTGGTTCTGGCTCCCCATTGCTGATGTTTGGAATTAAGGTCTGCACTTATAAGGAAATGATGTCCTAAGGAATTAAGAAAGGATATGAAGTTAGGTTCGGTTATTGCTGTTTTAGGTGGGGAGTATGCTGTGACAGGAAAAAGTGAAGTTTGGATTGTTATTGCTGAGTTTTGTAGGAAATTATGTACTGGTAAAGGATAAAAGTGATGGGAGAGGAATTGATGGATGATGGCAGCAGTACCTCCATGTGCTGTTCCATCAGGATAGTCAGTTCGATAAATCTTGTAGCTAGGTATGTTGAACTGTCATTTATTAGTTAGTCGAGTCTCAGTTATTAGGGCTATGTCAATGTTATTGTCCTGTAGAAAAAAAGTTAGTTCATTGATGTTAGTTCACGAACACCATTCGCATTCCAGAGGAGAATGGAAAGGGGTTTTATTGAGGGCATTTAAGGAATTCTTGGCGGTGGAATAAGGTTAGATATGACATTTGTGAGTAAGGAGATAAGTGGTGTGATAAGAGATCTGAATTCGGAGAGGAATGATGAAAGGAGACTCGTAAGATCATTGGAATTGTTAGTGGGAGGGATGTACATTTGGTAGTGACTGGGCTTTTGGGTGTTATTAAGTTGCGGTGGCGGATTATGAGGTTGAGGTTGAGTTTGCGGCAGGGCCTGAGGTTGAGTGGGCTGTTCTATTTCTCCCAGTATTTGAGCATAGGAGACTTGATTGTTCGTAAATCTTGTCTGTTGCCTTGGTGGTCTGGAAGTCCTGGAGGTCTCTTCCTGTCTAGGAGCTGTTAGGAGTCTCGATTTTAATATTTTGTAAGTCTGGCATCCTTTGTAGTTTGCTGGGTGGTCTTTATGGCATAATGCGCACACCGCAGGTGTTTGCCTGGACTTACTGCATTCTTCCGATTTGTGTTGTTGCCCGCACTTCACGCAGCGCGGTAAGCGGTGGCAATAACTTTTAGTGTGGCCATAAGATTGGCAATTACGGCATTGAACTATTTCCTTCTTGCTATATGGTTTTTCAACAACTATACTAGTGTAGTACAGGCGTCTTAATTTGTAAATATTATCGACCCCAGTGGTGCGCTCTAGGTCTACAAAAAATAATGGTAGGGCTATTTTATTATTTGTGCCCGTCTGCTCTTTATTTTCTTTAAATATATTAACGATTTGGCGGACACTGAATCCTAGATCCGTTAATTCTTCCTTGATTGCATTAGATGGAGTTGAAGGATGTAGTCCTCTTATCACTACTCTTAGTGCTCTCTCTTGGAATAACTGATAAGTGTGAAATTCCGCCTTTGTATCAGTTAAATATTTGACAATTTTTTTATAAGTTTCGGGGGAATCTGGCATCAACTTCGTGTCATTGATTCGAGTTTGGCATATGTATTTGCCGTTGTCCAGTATTTTATTTAGATGCTGGCAAAATAGCGGGAAATTTTTTATATTTCTGATGAATATAGGAGGTGGTTTTGGTTCTCTGGGGGTTGGTGGTATTTCCATTGTTTCTTCTAATGACAGTAATTGATATGGGTTAGGAGTAAAAAATGGAGATTCATCTGTTTCGTTGTTTATATTTTGTGTAGTCATATTTTTCGTTGAAGTGCCAGGTTGAGGGTCATTCATGCTATCACTAGTGTTATCAGGTGTTGAAGGTGGCGTTTTTCTATTAGAACGTCTAGGCTTCTGTTTTACCGGTGAACTTCGAGGGCTTTTATTCCCTAAACTCCTAGATCTTTTGTTTTTGCTAGACATTATCATATGGTAATATCGCATCTCATGACGGTAGGGTGGTAAATAAAAGAGAGGAGAAAAAAAATAAATAAATAAAAGATTTTAGTACGTAACTAATTACGTAGACTTGTAGAGGCCTCCAAGGTATACGTGTTCCCCCTTAGAAGCCACGGAGGCAACTAAAGGTAGTGGGGGGCAATGATAGCCTCTACCTATAAAACTATCGTTGTTTACACTGTAGTCCTAATGTTAATAAACAAGTTGTTTACTCACTTTGTTTATGTTGAGTTGAATAGTCAATTGATAAATCTTGAATTGTCACTGTTTTATTGCACTAAAGTTCACTAATTAACTGATAATTAAGTCACTTTGTGGGAGACGATGTAGCAGGTTGGTAAATAGAAACTGGCGCATGCGCATACTCTTCAAAAATGTTAACTATAATTATAGTTGTCATTTTAATTATCAAATTTAGTTTTTTTCTTATCCTTATATATTGTAAATTCTACAGCTATAGATATGTTTAAACTAAAAAAGTATCACTGATTTCCAAATTTATTATTGCACGTGTGAAATAATGTCACTAAACAAGTAATTTTTGAGAAATTCCATGAAAAAGTTGGGAATTTAAATTACAAAATTTGGTGGTCAAGGTGGGAGGGTTTTTGAGGCTCGAACATTTCATTTTCATAAAAATTGGATCATCTAAAAATATTGTTCCTTTTGATGTACTTTTTAAAAACTACTTTTCAAACACGTTTACAATGTTGAGTGTATTACATAGTTGCATTATTATTTTTAATTTGTTTTTACTTTATTTATTTGCTTATTTCTTTGTTAGATCTTTACAGGATAAATGCTTGGATCCAGAATTAAATGCTAAAGAAGTTATTGTGAAAATAGAAAATACAGATGATTATTACAATGATGTAGAGCCTGAACCAGTAAAAGAATCACTCCCAATAACAACTATAAAAGGTAAAATAGTTTACCCTCAATAGGTGTTTTGTTTTATTATGTTATTTGTCCAAAAAAGTTTTTAATTGTTTTAAAAATCCTGTTCTGCATTCTATGTGATTCCTTAGGCATTAAATAAAGCAAAACTTAATTTGGTTATCATAAAAATAAAAAAAAATAAAAAGATACCAACTATTAGTCAGGAATACAGGCTAGGTGATAGACACCCAATATTTAACTGAACTTTAATAAAATAGATTTACATATTAAAGTCGTACCGATAAATATAGGAGTAATTAATATGTATTTATTTCCATGTTCATTATAACAATGAACATTTTCTTCATTGGAGGATATCTGGAGATAGGAAGATTCTTAATATTACTTTTATTTTTAAAAATTAATAAATTGAGCTGTTGATTTAAATTAAAATATTTGTTTGATAAGGTTAGGTTAGGCCATTTAGTGTCCTTTAATCTATTTTTTACCATTCTATTTTAAAGATTATTTTTATTTGATGCTTCAATGAATTTTCTCATCTCTATTACTTAATATCATTCATATTAATTTGTTATAAAATAAAATGTGTTTGCTTACAATACTCACCACTGTTTCATCAAATTATTTTGGAATAGCTGTAATAAAAAAATTATATATATTTACATCATTTGAAAAAAACCGAAATAATGACTAATGATAAGGGAAAAAAAGAAAAAATCTAGACTAAATACGAAAAAATCAGGTTGGTGAAATAGTTTAAATACCTTGGGAACTCGTAAACTATTGGGTTGACAAATAAGCCCTTTCAATTTTTCTGTTTATTTTAATGTCGCTATGATACACTTATCTGATGAATTAAACCCTAAGGTGGATTGTTTATCCTGTTTGTAATATGTTAACAACTATATCTGTTAACTCTTGTTGAAACTAGCTTAGTATTGTCTTTGCTATTGCACTGTGAATATGGAAGAAAATATCATTCATTATCGGAATATTTTGTTGTATTATTTTTAAAAAACGAAGCATGCAGAAGCTCATAAAAAAATTTGCAGTGTTTATGGGGATGATGCCTTAACCCAACACACTTGTCAAAATCAGTTTGCCGAATTTCATTCAGGAAATTTTGACATCAATGATGCTCAACGGTCTGGTCGCCCACATGAAATTTAAACGAGCAATGTTAAGGCCATTGTTAATCAAAATCCCACCCAATCAGTGCGAGAGATTGCTATGGTCCTAAATTTATTGCACACAAGCATAAAAAACCATTTGCACAAGCTCGGCTATGTTTCCAGGCTTAATGTTTGGGTCCCTCACTCTCTAACCGAAGTCAACTTGGCAACACGCATTTCTGTTTGTGTTATATTAGGATTAAAAACATTTAGTTAGTTTCTTAATGTCATAAGGATCAATTTCCACAACAGATATTTGTGTTATAAGCCAATGGTTCATTATAACCTTACATAGAATTTTTTTTAATGAATGAAAAGTGTATTTTCATAATTAATTTACTATAACAGATGTCAGGACACAAGAAAAAGAAAGAATTAAAACTTTATAATGATTTCTCTGTTGTTATTTGTGGTGATATACATATTTTACATTACAATTACATCTATTCTTTAGAAGATTTTATTTATGTTTTTAGTTGTTTGTGTATTATTATTTATTACGGTATATATTGTTAGTATTTTCGTTAAGTTAGTTTTTGGCTAGGTATTTATTGTTTTTATTCTTATGGGATCTTGTCCCAGAATAAAGTTTATTTTTCTATCTATCTAACTAAATGATCACGAGCAACAATTGTTAAGTGTGAGTGTGTAAATGTTTTCTTGTGATATGCAATTTGCTTTATTTATTTCTTAAAATAAAAATCTCTTTAAATGCTGATTTTAGGTTTTGAATCGAAAATTTTGAATAAAGTACTTGAAAGTGAAGAACCTGAAGAAATGGCTGATGATTCTGAAGAACAAGCAAAAAAGGAAGCACTTATGTTAGATTGGGAAAAGGAAAATTTAGTTGATGATTATCAAAAATCAAAAATAAATATAACATGGCCGGTAATAGTTGTTTATTATTTCTAAAATATGTTTTTAGCCCTGTAAAGTAATTAGGTGCATTCTAGCAAATATTCTCTGTCAGAAAATATATTGCATGGTGTTAATTTCTTAATCATTATGTACTTTATAATATTTATTATTAACATGACATAATAGTTCAGAATTATGTTTATCTTATTTACAATATCTTCCGTTAAAATTAGTAGAACCACCTCCCCCTCCCCTGAAACTCATCTCTGAAAAGACATTGTGGCTAGAGAATTAGTTGCTGTAATTATTGTAGTTGTCATCTGAATGTTTGTTTTCAGTTATCTTCCAGAAGCTGAGTAGAACTATATCTTACCTTACCCCTTTATATAAAGTTTTGGGAATTGAGCTGTTAGCTGCTTGGTCTTTGTGACATTATGAAAAAAAAAACTCTTTAATTTCCTATATTTAATTTCATCAAAGATGATGTGTCTTAATTTATGAGGCTATATTTTGAAACCATTAATTGTGAAAACTATTGGACAGATTTACACATAAGTTATTGCTAAATGATCCATTTTGTACTGTGAAGGTTTCAATCCATTGAAATACTAGAGCTGACCAGAAGGAAGAAACTTAATATTTTTAACCATGTTTAGAGAATTTTGTAAGTACATTTAATAATGTTAAATACCAATTGTAAATTGTTGTTGAAATTGTATTTTATTGTTAAAAATGCCACTGAAATAAAAAATATTCATCATCGCATAAATAATCAAAGGAGTAATTAAGGAGAAAGACAAAATGTAGTAGAAACAGAAACAGTACACCTAAATAAAATATTAATTATCTCACTATGATATATATGGCAGCCCATTCTTGTTTGTAACCAATAAAAATGTTTAAAAAATTGGTATAAAACCATGCAACTAAAAACACTTTTTATTCAATCAGTCGTTTGTCTTTTTTGTTTCAAACTTATTACTAAATAGTTCTACAGCCCGAGGTAGGCCTTGGCTTTCCTCGCAACATTGCACCAGACTTCTCTGCACAACGCTCTCCTTCATTTCTTTATACCGAGATTTTCTAGATCTTTTTTCTCATCTTGAACGTAAAGTCTGCGAGGTCGTCTTATCCTTCTGGTACCATACATTTTTCCAAGTAGAATTATTGTTTGCATTCTTGATTCATCCATCTGTGCTGATGACCCACCCATTCAATTCTCCCTTCTCCTATGAAGCTGATAATGTCACGAGATCCATGTAGTTCGCTATTCTTCTGGATTCTCCATTCACCCTCTTTCAACACAGGTCCATAAATTTCACGGAGAATTTTCCTCGCAGATTTTCAAAATATTTATTGCGGAGGTGCAAAAGGTCCAATTTTCCACTGAATATGTCTCTACCGCTCTTAATAATGTTTTATATAACCTTATTTTTGTCGTTTGTAAGCGATGACTAGAAGAGTTTTATGTTTACGTAGTTAGCCCGGTTACCTGCCATTATCCGTCTATTCACTTCTGCTGATATTTCATTTTTACGATTAAGTTCCACATCAAGATAGGAGAAGGATTTAACGTTTTCAAAACAAAAACCTTCAACGCACAGATCTTCTCTAGCTCTTGAATCATTGGCTGAGCATAGATTAAGCTTGTTTTCCACTCTGCTGGCATGCATTCTATGTCCCATATATCCACAATTAGTAGAGAGAAACACTTTATTTTCACTTAAAATTATTCAGATCCTCTCCACCATTTGTAAAGAATTCCACATTCAGAAGGTCTTCTCCAGGAGATTTGTTATTTTTTAATTTGTCAATTGATTCTACCACTTTCTCGATTGCGAACGGTTCTAAATCAGACAAGTTTTCTAGCTCTGATGTCACGTCAGGGTACATGCTTCTTAGATTCAGTAAATCATTGAAATGTTCCTCCCATCTGTTAATTACCATGTTTTTCCATTTTTATCTTTATATGCATCTACGTTAGGTTGGGATCCACTGTTCATATATCTGACGGCTCCATAGAATTTTCTCGTTTCATTATTCATTCTCAGTTCTTCTATTTGTTCAATTTTCTTTTTTAAGAATTCCCTATTTTCTTTCTTATAATCTTTTGTGGAGCGTTCGAATACAACCAATCCATGTTCAATTCTAAAATTTAGGGCTGCTGCACACTCCTCATAGAACGATTCCTCACTTCTCTGCTTTCTCTTCTCTCCACTTACTTTATCTGCAGATTCCTCAATACCTTTTCTGATTTTATGCCATTTCTCTTCAACTTCTCCAGTTCTAATACCTTTCAAATTCTCTGTTAGCTTATTACTTACAGATTCTTTAAATTGCTCAGTGAAATCTTTAAGCTTAATTTTTTCTAAATTCCATTTCTTCCTATAATGCCCGACTCCCAAATTTTACTCATGTCAATGGCTCCCTAAACTTTACTTTGACTAAGAAGTGATGTGAGTCACAGTTAGGTCTACAGACTGTTTTTACATCAATAATTTATGTACATGCCTTCTATCTATTAAAATGTGATCTATCTGGTTACTGCACCATTGGGGGCTTTCCATGTTCCCTGGTATATATTTTGGTGTTGGAAAAAATGACTTTTAATCAACATATCACTCGCTTCAGTGAATTGGCAGTGATGGTTTCCGTTGTCATTTGTTCTCACTATGAATGGAAAATTTTCCTGCAATGGTCTGTGTAAAGCTCTCGGTTCCTACTTGTGCATTTAGGCCCCCTAAAATAATTTTAACACCATATTTTGAGAATGCGTGATATACTCTTTTCCATTCTTGATAAAATTCCAAATTTACATCCTCATCTGCTTCCTCGGTTGGTGCATATGCTGAAATTAATGTTATGTTCCTAAATCTACCTTTCAATCTTAAGTTCACAAATTCTCTCACTAATCGGTTCAAATTTAGTAATTTAGAATTTAGTACCTTTTTTTCCACTTCTCGTGTTAGGTCCACTGTAAAACATTGAGAAATCCTTCTTGTCCACTCTGCCTGATCCATCCCAACTTGTCTTCTGTAAGGCTAATGCATCTATGTTAAATTTAATTATCTGCTCCAGCATTTTACCAGGCTGTAACATTGTTACCAGGTTGTAATAGTCAAATCCTAATTTTTGTTCCAGGTCCGTTTTCTTTTAATTCAATCTGGCTTATTATTGTCTGTGGGCTTCTGAACATTTATTTTTTTTATAAGGTGCGGGCATTAACCCCACACTCAACCCCTAACCTGGAAGACCAGGACTTTGAATTCAGGGCTCCGTGCTCTAGCATGGTGGCTTTCACTACAGCTTACTGAGTCCATGCTACTCTTGATTTTTTTAGAGTTTTCTCTCCCAGCCTTTAGGATCCCCTCCCAAACCATACAAGGCAGTCCGGGGCCGTGCATATTTACTGGCGACACCTACTCGCCATGTCAACATCGTCAATGGGTTTTGTGGTATTTATTATACATGACCCTACCACAGGTCATATGTCCACCCCTGCTGGTGTTGCAACATCTTATCCGGGACTGCTTATTTTGGCAAGCTCTTATATCTACAGCCTGTTCCGCTATCCACCACCTGTAGACCCGTCCAATAGCTGGAGTAAGCCCTGTGTTTTTGTTTCACAAAAGTTCCAAATATTTTGCAAGAGCTCCTACTTATTAACTTATTTGTAAATTATTTTGTATTTATTTATTGTTGTTAGTCTCTATCCCAATTGATTGGATGTGTCATTGACATTTCTTATATTTTTAAACCTGGTGGTATAACTAAACTTAAAACTTTTTAAGAATTCAATAAGAGATTTCTGTCAGTTTTCAAGTCTTCTAGTATTTCTCATATATTATAACTCATCTTCAGTTTTTTCTTATGTTTGCATACTGCTGCCACTCAACCAGTATTTTTAATAACTCCTTTCCTCAACTAAAATTGTTATTAACTAAGCCCTTTTTAAATTGGTTTGTTTCATTCCAAATTTTCTTTAATTATGAACTATGAAATTTTATTTTTTGTTATTTCTCCTTTTTTGTCTTATTTCTCTGTTTTGTTTTTGTTTTTTTTCAGCTTGTAGAAATTGGTACTTTCTTGAAATTGACTTGGGAAGCTTTTAATGTTGAAGAAATAACGCAATACGAGATAGAAAGGATGCTCCTTATGCCTAAAGAATCCATTACACTAGCCAATTTAATGACATCAATGCTTAGGTATGGATTTACTATTATGTTCATGTATTCTTATTGTTGACCAAGTGTGGAGATTAATAATTCTTAATTTTTCTAAGAGATGGTTCACAGTCTAACTTAAGTTACGAAAAAATGCTAAATATAACTTTTGAAAGAATTTGATACATAAATAATGCAGAAAATAATAAAAATGCTTATACAGGTCGAAAATGAATCTCTGAAAATACATGTCAGAAGGTATACTTATAATATATCGTTGGAAAGCAGAGCGTTTTAGAAAAAAACAATATCTAATATAGAAAGTTGTAGAAGGTAACGGAGAGTGGAGAAAAAATTAAAATAATAATCTCTTAAAGTTAACATTATTTAACGTAAATCACATGTTTTCAAGGAAATTAAATGAAATTTACTAACTAAATGTAAACTTTTAAAATATTTTTAAGTTTAAAAAAAGTATTTAAAATCCACCTAATCAAAGTAATGAATGACATTGTTAAAAACAACTATTTCAATGTACTTGTGTGAAAGAAGTAAAATATAAAATCATTTCATGGATGTATAAAGCTTATGTTCATAACCTTAAATATATTTACTGTACTTTAGTGATTATAGATCTGATATTATATTTAAATAATTAGGTATCAACGTTTATTCCGAAAAATTGTCATGTAACTTTTTAGGAAATTAAATTAGTGAATAATTTGATGAATTTTCCCATTGTGAAATCCCAACATTATCATATCTTCCTCTAAAGTACCTTTAACAAATAATAATAATAATAATTTAATAAATAATAACTTTATCATTGTTAGGAGTTATTGAAAAATGCTAAATATAACTTTTGGAAGAATTTAATAATTAAATAAAGGAGAAAAAATACAAAAAAACTTAGACTTAGGTCGAAAATGAATCTCCAGAAATACTGGTCAGAAGGTATACGTACAATATATCATTGGAAAGCGGAAAATTTTAGAAAAAACAGTATCTAATATAAAAAGTTGTAGAAGGTAACGAAGAGTGGCGAAAAAAATATAAATAATAACATGTTTTCAAGGAAATTAACTGAAATTTTCTTACTAAATGTAAACTTTTAATATTTTTTTTAAAGTTTGAAAGAAGTGATATATAAAAATATTTCATGGATACGTTTATAACCTTAAATATATTTACTGTAGTTTAATAACTATAGATCTGACATTATTTTTAAATAATTAGGTATCTATTGTCCGTTTATTCTGAAAAATCATCATGTAACCGTCTGGAAATTAAATTAGTGAATAATTTGATAAATTTTCCCTTTGCGATATTCCAACAGAATCCACTTACAATTAGTGTGACAACTTTTGACCTGTCTATGACAGACAATGAAAATCTCTTAATTCCATTTTAATAAACTTTGTAATGGAAAATAACAGTTTAATAACTAATAGTCGTACAATGCATAATTAATGGATTGAACAATCCATAATCAACAAATCGTACAATCCATAATCAACCAGTAATATAATAAATAGAACTTTTGTTATTTTAATAGTATTTATGATTTGTTAGCTGCAATTTTTTAGCTTTAGCTCAGTTAAAAATGCAATTAAAAAAATTTATAACAGCCCAACATGGCTAGAAAATAATTTCTAATCAAAGTTGAGCAGTAATTGAAGGTTGTGTGTTGCGTGCACCAGATTTTTTTACCTTTTTTCCCAAATTAAATATTTTTTAAAGAATTATTAACCACCACACCTGGCATCTATGGACTGTAGAACCAGAACGGCTGTAACAATTTCGATAAAACTTGTCTAAGTTCTTGTCTTTTGTGTGTGAACGAAATTTTATTTTGATTTAAATCATATTTTTCAATTTAAAAAGAGTATATCAATTTTTAACTACTTATGTTCTTTAAGAGAAGTATTAAAACCCTTTTTACCATAATTTATTTAATTTCCATTAAAAAAAAATCTATATTTTAGCCACTTTTGCCAAATGTTAAGTCAACCCATGTTTCTGTAAACATATAAAAACTTATTAGCACAAAACCATTCATTTATTAAAAAAAAAATATTCGAATTATTATATTATAACTTGTAACACTCATAAATACATTATCGTAATTGTTTTTAAATTAGATAAAATGAGAAATTAAAAAACAAGTATTGATTTTGTGTTGATAAATGGTTTTGTTTTAGTAATTTTACTTCCTTACTACACAAGGTAGAGAAGCAGTGTATTCGTGCGAGAGGTTAAAAAAAAATTTGTGCTCAGAACCGAAAATTTCCAGTCACGTTTTACGTTTGAGACATTAAGGATCAAATTTAGTTTAGTGTCTGTCTGTCTGTAGTGAAACCGATGTAACGGGCATATCACCTACTACCGTTTATCCAACTTTTATTAAATTTTCAAGGATTGTGCGGGCTGGTGTCTAGGTGATCTCTTATCAATTTTATCAAATTCCATCCAGCACTTCCGGACACTCTAGATATTTTAAAATTATTTTTATTAATTATGTATTATTTTATTAACTTAAAATAATACATTCTTAATTAATGTACTGTTGATTGGGGTAACTTTGGCCCTTGCAATGTCAAAAATGAAATAATATTTTATTTGTTAGATCCAGTCTACGACAAATGATTGTCACTTATTTATTGCTACCCACTGATTCTTACATTCAATAAGTCATAATTACTCTCTTTTTTCGATACAGCTAATAAAATATTTTTTTCATATTTTGGGCCAAAGTTGGCTGTTTTTTCTTTACAGCAGGTATATATTAAATTATGTTTGAAGAAAAATTACAAAAGACTAAGCCTTAACCTTCAATGTAACTGTTCAAACTAATTATTATGTGTTCTATTGCCAGTCCGCAGATTCATAGAACTCAGTTAGATGTAAAACCAGTGATGCCATATGAAATTTGGACTTCAAGATTAAAGAAACGGCTAGATTCGTGGTATAACTTATTTCACTCAACATGTGATGTCATTGAGGTAAGAAAACTAGAACCTCTATTGTTATATTTAATTTTAATTTTTTGCAGTTATTTAGAATGTAATTTTTTTTATCTGTGGGTTTAATGGGTTTATGGAAAATTTCAACTCAATTAAACAATAAAAATAATTACATATATAGAGCCAATCTGACACTATCTTCACTATGCAAAATTTAATTTAATTTCAACTTGACTCATCTAATCTAAAATCTAATGCCAACAGCTCAAACAAAACCGTTTTTGAGATAGTAGAATTGTGGGATTCATGCGACTTAGTTTTGACATTTTAGCTTACAGATCTTTTTTCTATTGATAACGCTTGTCACCAGAATACTTCTAAGTGTCTTGTTCCAGCCTAGTAGAAGTGTTGCTTGGTATAAAAAAAGTATGCATAAAATAAAAGTAATAATGAATATAATTTATTTGATTTCAAAGATTACATTTCAGATATGAGACAATTTTACCATAAACACAGATAGCCATAAAGGCAACTTTTCTGAATTAAGAATCTTGGATTTAAAAAAATAACCCCATCCTCGATCAATACGTTGTTCTCTAATGAGATGTATTAAACTGTTATTTTCAAGATTATATTATCCAGAAAAATAATACCCATCAATAGGCTTTCTGCTCAAATAATATATCACCAACACTATTAATGAAATATATATGACATAAAAATTATTTCAAGTGAAATTTCCGATAAGTGCTACTACAATAAAATATTAAAAATTATTATTTTATTTTATTTTGTTCTGTAGACGTTCAGTAGTTGTGGCGTTGAACCTCTCTTTTGGTACTCTGTTGGCCCCGTCAATCCCATGATAGACCACAACTTTCACGAACTTTCTTTCTACAAAAGAGTTTGGATAGTGAAATCTCTTTGTAACAACTTAATGGTAAGATGAAATATATATATATATATATATATATATATATATATATATATATATATATATATATATATATATTTTAATATATTAAAACATAATACTTAAATAAAAAGGATTTTATTTAAAATATCATTCAATTTTCTCTAATTAGAGAAAACTATTGGAAGTCATTCTGTTTTGCCAGGAAGAAATAATTCCTTATTGGTTGGTTTTAATATAAATTTTGATGTAAATAAATCATTGGACCACCTTCTGTTCAATGAAAAAGACCAACAAGTTTGATTGATTAAATTATTATCAATTGCAATGATGATAAGTATTCATCATTCCTCATTTAACTTTTATAGAATTAAAATTTTGTGTTTTTACAATATGGCCAATATAATTATTTTTTTTATAAATTATGAACTTTAATTTTTTTATACAATTGAATGAGCCAAAAACTAAAAACAAAACTTTTTTCAGTTTCTGTCATGTTCTCTCTTTAAAAAAAAAACAAATACTGAAATATATTATATTTTAAGAATGGAAGTAATATATATAAAACATTATGCTATAAGCTTATTCTTTTCTAAGAAATACTGGTTTATTTAACCTATGAATTCATCACTGAGCACCCCATCGTTTAACAAGAAAGAACCCATCAGGCTCCCGTCTCGACTCATATATGAGTCCACCATTGCCTAAGCCCGGTTCTCTCTTTTTCAAATCTCTCTTTGTATACAGAGCTTCGAGAATAAGGTTATGTATTTTAATGACTGATGGAGTTACGAAGTCTTCATCAATTACCATATATTTTTTTGGCTTTTTTTTTTTTAAATATCTAGTTACAATGAACACAACTATATGCAATTTATTGGGATTTGGGGGAAGGTCCATAGTAGGGGGGTTTGTCCCACCGTGTAACATTCTTTTCAAAACATCTCCCGATTACCATCTACTGTTCTAGTGAGCAGGGTGGCCGAACAGACTAACGTATGTATAGCACCGCCAATGCCCGACAACCTGATATATAAGGCAATTGATATAAAATAGTCACGAGTTTGTATCTCAGTGCTAAGGGACTCTTTTAAATCCCCGCCCACAACCCCTGGCCCTGGGAAAAACTCTGTATAGCCTTAAAGGTGAGGAAGGGAAGCACCAGCAAAAAAAAAAGAACTGAAAGGGTACTATTGTGAAAAAAACTAAATGGATAAATTTTGAAAGCTATAGAAAAAAATGTTATGTACCAAAATTTTAGATAATTTTAAGCTGTTTAAGATTGAATATAACCATTTTTTATCTATGTCGCTCTAAAAAGGAGATTTTTAGTGTAAACCAAAAAAACATATATATATTATATTATATATATTTTTTTATTTTTCAGCATATAGACAAAACCATTCAAGGAATCATTTTAGACCCAAGTGTTACTAATGATATTAAGCCAATAAAAATTTGTACTGATAAGAAAGGAATAAGCTATTTCCGAATTCCATTTTTTCGTGAAATTCGCATTTACAAACAAGCAAGGTTGCCAGACACAGTTGTAAGTTATCTTTATATTATGCAAGAAAATATGTCAAATCTTTATTTTAATTTTATTTGGTTCTTCAGTTTCAGGATTCAAGTGATGTAGAAAGCACAATTAGTAATATTCTAGATTCTACTACGTTAGGCTCCACTAATGATAATGGTACGTTCTTCTTAACATATGTGTATATAACATGATTTAATGTAACCAATATATCATATCTTTCATATTCTTTCACTTATCTTTAGACAATGACCTAGAAATTTTACCAAATGAAGGAGAATGTTCATTGATTGCTGATAGCATAGACAGTTTAATTGAGTATATAGACAATTGTAAGAAACAAAACAAACTTTTCCTTGCACGGAATCTATCAAAACAATTGAGGATACTTAAAAAAGAAAGGCGCACAAGTGATGGCCTGATGGCTCTTTATAACCAGTGGCATGATTACCAAAATAGGTGAGTAATATTTCATTATAAGAGGAGCTTCTCTGTCATAACTTTTTTCATAGTCTTTGCTTACCCATGTGAGTGAGTTAACCACCCCAGCTTCATAAATCAGACTGTCAACATTTTTTATACCGGTCGTATAGTCCTTTTTTTTTTTTTCTTTTTCCTCCAGACACATTTCCCTTTCCCTCTCTGTGGTGTATAACTCATAAAATGTTTATTTTATGGGAAATCATATATAATCACTTGAAAAAAATATATTAATTGCTCTACAAAAAATGTGTACATTTTTTTTATTTTAATTTTCTTGGTTAAATAATACAGTACAGTGTTTTGTGTTTGTATTGTATCTAAGCTATCAGCAAATATGTGATTTTATGAACTGTTATTTCCAGTTCTATTTATTTATTTTGAGCAATTAATGTTTAATTTAAACTAACTAGATGGCTCATGCAGATAATTCGCAAATATATTGGTTAGTGAAAAAGAGACAAAATAATGAGGAAATAAGTTAAATATTATGCGATGGAGCAATTAATTTTCCTTTCTTTCCCAGAACACAAAATTAGAAAAAGTTATGAAGTTTCCCACATCAGGTTTTGATTTGGAGATGGGAAAAAAACAGATCTTTTTTGTGAACTATCTAAAAAACTATGAGGTTTATTGAAAAGATTATCCTATAAAAAAAATTAAAAACTACTAAATTCAAAAACTTCATAAAAATCATTGTATACATTTTTTACTATTATCAATAAGGTTATGGAGATATTTAAAGATGTAAATTCATAGAATTCCTATTTTCAGCAAAAATAGCTCTAAACGCCATAAAATAAATGTTTTTTGTCGAAGATTTACCGTCTAGAGATTGAAGTTGTATAATTTTTTGATTGTTTAAATTATAAAAGAAATTTCTTTGTTTTAATGATTAAACAAAATAGGTAGTTGAAACTGATAACAAAACAATATTTGGTGTAATTCAATTAAAATATTTGTGTTTAAATTAAGATTTAGATTGAAACAGATTTTATATAATCTGTTTGATGATACTATAATACATGAATACATATTTGATAATACATGAATTGTTTCATAAGATACTTTTTCGGAATCCCCAGGCGTTCACATGTTTCACTCTGGTACACCAAGTTGAAATGGCTTTATCCTACTTCCCGACGACAATTCCTCCTTTTCCAAGTCTTCAGAACCAAAAATCCTCCCTACATCCTGGAACTCCTTACTCTACGCCCCTCTATCCACTCTCTCAATACTATGTCTCAACCTATAGACTTATATATTCCCTTCCATAAAACTTTCTCCTTCAGCAAATCCTTCGTCATTCGTGCTGCTTCCTTATGGAACTCACTTCTTACCTCCATGCGTCAATCCTCGTCTACAAATTCCTTCAAACAACTCCTGTTCCAATTCCTACTCCACATTCAAACTTCTCCTAACATGTAAAATTACGTGCATCTATACAATGTTTAATTTCAATCCATTCCACAATTGAAATAACAATTAACAGTAAATTAGTTTGTACTTTTATTATGTCAGACTAAGATCCATAAATTTGTAACTCTGTTATTATTCTTAGGGGACAGTAGTCGCAGAATAAAATTATTTTTTCATTTCATTGATAATCGATATATTACATATAATTATATAAATAGGCAAACACAAATGGTTCAACCCCTTTTTCTCCTCTATTATTTAACCGATTTTCTTCTTTTTTTGTTTAATAGCTATTGATGAGCTTTAGTGTCATCAATAAATACAAATATGAAATAGTGTATATAAATGATAGTTTGTTCATTCAAAACAGCTAATCTCTGAAAGTTCTTTACCGGTTTCTTCAAAATTTTGAAACAACGTCCCAATCAGATTTAGGAGTGTTTTTGTACACATTTCATTATCATCCAGCCTTTTCTTTCGAAATGGTGGCGGAAAACCGTGATTCGCTTTAGTCTGTAGCACCAAAACCGGCTGCAACGATTTTAATGAAACTTGGCTAATGTCTTCCCCTTGAAACCTAAATAATTTATGTATATAACATACTTTCTCAAAAACAAGCTGCATACGTTTTCATGATGAATTCAGAATTTCATTTCCGAATAACTCAAAAAGTAAACAATTTTTTATTGATGAAGAGAGGATATTATTGAATGTTAGTGGAATGCCACCTCATAAATTAAAGTTAAAAGTAAATTCTATAGTTATGCTCATTCGTAACTTAAATATTGCACAAGCTTTAGTTAATGGAACATGAACAAGTATGAAGTATTAACGGGAGCTGCTGTGAATAAAAGAATTTTAATTCCAAGAATTAATTTAACATTTTCTGGGAACAATACTTCCATTCGAACTTCAGAGAATACAGTTCCCAGTAATAACTGCATTTGTTATGACTATAAAGAACTCGCAGGGTCAAACTTTTGGGAAAATTGGGTATTATTACTACGTCCAGTATTTTCACATGGACAATTATGTGTAGCAGCAAGTAGAGCACGTTCGTTTAAAAGTTTGAAATTTTATATTCCCAATAGCAATGGGCAAGACTACTTACTAAACTATAACAGAACATTCATAAAGACCATTGTTTACAGAGAAGTTCTTCATAAAAATGAATTAAACTGAAATGAAAATGCTGATTTATATTTATTTTTACTTGTTTAATCATAACATTAATTAATTGCGACATTAACAGACTTAAATCATAATGGAAATTAAATATTTTTGAATGAGTTTATTTTGTATTACTTATAAATAATTTTAAGTAGTTTAATCTTGATTCTTAATTGAAATTGAAATTTTGTTTTTATTAATAAATGAGGATTTTTAAATCTTGATTTACCCTTTTTTTAGTTTATTTTTATTTAATTATATATTTTCCTAAAATTTTTAATGATTATGGTCGAATTTTGACCACTGAACACACTAGTATAAATAAATGTTGTTCTGCTGAAGAAGGAACAAAAGATTTTTTTTTTACTTATTTATTTCCCAGTCATTTTTATTGAAAAACAAAGAAGTAATCATTTAAAGTTTAAGTTCAAATAATTTTTAAAAATTATACTTTAAATACATAATTGTATAACATTTGTATTAGGTAAATTGTAAATGAAAATGTTCCTTTGGTACTTTTCATTTATAGATGTTTACTTCTTCATTTTCTCTGTTTTGGGGTATTTCCTATTATTTTAGGTACCTTGCAGTATCATGATGTTGTCCTATTTTCTCAATCCCATATGTTAATTGAAATTCTTAATAATTCTTCATTTTTCATCATGTTTAAAAATTAATGACTATTATTTAATTCTTTAAAGTTCAAGAAAAAGAATGAATTTTTTAAAAACTATGTAGTTCCATTATAACTATGACAATGATGATGCTGACATCAATTAAATAAAACTATTCAATGAAGATTTTCATTCATAAAACGAATCATTATAAATAATATTAACAATCTCTAGTTCCTCTTATTACTGATGGTAATAGTAGCTACTTGATTATTTCCAAGAAATTTTAATGTGATATTCCAACAGTACACAAGCTGTGTCATTACTCATTAATGGACGAGTTGCTTGCTGTGTTATCAATGGATATGAAGAACTCAGTACTGATGGTGATCGGTACGATTTCTGATCAAATGATAAATAGTGAATGTCAAAGAAGTAGGTTAGATTGTTCAACTTTGTACAAAAACATTGCAATATTGTTGCAGATCATCTTAAAACTGAATTTGTTTGGAGAAGAGCACGAGGATACCAATTTAAGAACTAATGTTGAACATTTGAGATTTTCTTGATCCCTCCTTTTTTTTTTTTCGGAAACCTGACATGATCATATTACTCTGAAATTTCAAACTCACTTAGCTTATAATCAGGCATGATGGTGACTGGATTATACCTGTTTTCTTATCAATTCTGAAAAGTAATAACTTTAAAATTTACTTGATGACTCAAATCGTATGAAGATAAGCAATCAATTTCACTCAACCTTAGAATAAGTTATATTTTTGAATATCAAATGATGAAAAAACAAAAACAACAGTATATCTTTCTCTTAGGTGGAATCATAATCTGATTTAGAGAAAAATATGGCTTCTCTGGAGAAATTTGAAGAAGTCTATACGCTCTATTCATAATGTGTATAATATACATACCAATTAGAAATTCATATTACCAACTATTAGTAAAAAAAAATTTTTTTAGATCTCAAGAATATTTTACCAATATGCTAAATCTTTGGTTAGCTTTTGAAAAACCACCACGGGCATTAGCAACAGTGAATGAGGAAGTGACTGAAGAAGTGTTAGGTAATAAGGTCGTTTTATTATTGATTGTACTTTTATGGATTAATTCAATGAATATGTTTCTTTTAATTTTAAGCATGCATTTTTTTCTATTCAGAACACACAATGAAAAGCATTTATTTTTGTTGCAAAATGTCTTTAAAATTTAAGTCAACTGCTGGTATAAAAAAGAGTACGGTCATTATCGGGTACGTTTCAGAAATACGTTAAATTAAAAAAAACGAAGTTTAACTGTGTACTATTATGGAAAGTTTATCATTTTGATTACACCAAAAAGGAAAGAGGAAGAGTTCAATGGTTAAGATGTCAAAGTCCAAGGTGGAGGTATTTGGAAAAACAGCACAGGTCATTGAGGTGCTTATATTGTTGCATTTTATCTTTGTTAATATTTAATTAAATCATTTAATGGCTAAGTAGTGAAATCTCACAAAATGCCAAAAAAAAAGCTAGTGAGCTAGTGTTTGTCTCATTGATGCAAGTTAGTCTGTAAATAAATAATAATCAGATGGAGTCAAGTGTGGTCAATAAGCCTCATGCACTAATATTTCCCAACAATCATTTTCTTCCCTGGTTTTGCTGTGTTTGATTGTTCAATATCATGAAGCTGAATCTCTTTAAGTTTTGTTTTTATCATGGTAGTTTTTCATATTTTATTCAAATTTTATCATTTTTTGTTGATAGTGTTGACTATCAACGATTTTAGCGGTTCATAATAGATCACACCAAACCCAGATCATTCTTTTTTCTCTAGCAAATTGGCTATTGATTGTTCACCTGGAGTTACCCATGATGTTTGACTCCAAGGATTCTCAAGATATATCCACTTTTAAACACCTGTCACTTACATAGAGAAATAACTTAGTTTGTACCATGCTGGAAACAGCATTTTGATGGTGGTTTTCTTGCTGTCTCATTCAGTTCATTTGGATCCCATTTTCCCATATTCTGGATATTTCTCAGAGCTTTCAGATGTATATCAACAGCTTCTACATATCTTATGCTCAATTGAATAATACGAGTTATTGGGTTTGAGCATCATTCTCATCAGACATTGCTCATTGTCTTCGAACTTTTTCAGTTGTCTTTCATGTTCTTAATTTCTCACCCCTAATTCACCATTTTTAAATGTTCAAACCACTCAAAGTACTTTGGTTTACCAAGAGCATGCTCACCTTAAATTTTGACAAGTATTCAATGCGATTCTGCAACAGTTTTCTTTTAACTAATGCTGCACGTCAAACAAAATCAATGTTTGTTGGCACAAAACTCGTTTGTTCAACTATTAAAAAAATTATGCTGTTATATGAAACTTGTATTGTTCTAAGTTGAATAGGAATTATTGAAGTTGTCTGTGCCATCTATGGACAAATTCTGGTTTTATATTAACTAGTCTGGTAACATCTTATAGCATAGTTGAACCTCTTATTTGTAGGCAAGAACAATATGTTCATAAGAATGGCATGAACTCTGTTAATTACTATGAATAATTTGAAACAATTTAATAAATAATTCCTAGTGCTCCTCTGCTCAAAATCCTGAGTTTGAGGAGTCTGGCTGTAGCAGGTAATTATTCATTCTGCTACCTCAACCCTGGGGTTGGAAGACCCTGCGGCTGGGTACATCCAGCCTATATAAAGTGAGTACTCTTAATCAAATAATTAACTGTCTTCAGTTTTATGACTCTACTGACACAGTATGTTTTAAACTAGTAAAGAAAACAAAGAGTACTTTGGTGCACAAAGTATTTTTATTTATTACTCCTTGTCTTTTAAGTTTTCTCTGCAATCTGACTTAATTGTCTGTGGAAAAAATATTCTTCTCTTTGACTCAAGCATGATTAGAAGTTTGTTCCTGTGCCTTTATTGGTTTTAACTGCAAATGATATTTATGGGAACTTGTGTTAGCATGATTATTTATAGTTTTAGTTGATTTATTGACTACTATTATGATTAATGCTGTCTGGCTTTTATGGTTGTCCCATAAATGTTATGAAGTATCCAGGCTTTCTTAATTAACTGTCTATCTAATACAAAAAAAAATTCAAATCAGATTGGAAGTTCTTAAAACTAGAACATTCAAATGAATAAATCCTTCAGCTTAATAAAATTTTTATATGTATATTTATTTTTATCTTTGTTAGTTTGAATTTCTTTTTCAGGAAAGAGAAAAACCAAGCAAAATTTTGACTTTTCTAGTCTTCGCTCAACTGATTCTGAAGAGAGGTCTGAAGATAATGAAAGTAGTGATGTTTCTGATTGGGAAAATGACTATATGAAAAAAAATAAAAAGAAAGTGGAATTGAAAAGAAAATCTAAACAGTCGATCAGTGATACAAGAAGTGAAAGTTCTGATGTTTCAAAACATGATGATAATGCTATTGCAATCCATGAAGTCAGTATTAAACAAGAAGTTTTGGAAGATGTAAAACCAGATCTCACATCAAATGGCAATGTTCCTTATCAACCTGCAGAATTGGATAATACAGTTAATATTAAATCTGAAATTGTTCCTTTTCAATTGGAACCAATGGTAAACACTACTTCATATAACGCAGTCAATTTAGAAAACCTGTCTGTATCTAATTCTTTACCCCCTGTACCTCCTGGGTATATGATTGTGCCTATCAGTTCAAATAATGTTCCCACGAATATAAAGAAAGAAAAAGATGATGTAATATGTATTAGTTCAGATGAAGAGAATGAATCAGTCAAAAAACCTTTAAACCCGGTCAATAATGGAATTCCCCAAAAGGTAACCTCAGCTGTTCCGCTGCCAGTCGTAACACCTTCTCCTCAACAGCCTCCAACAATGATAAGAAACAGGAGAAGGCCTTCAAAGCCTAAAACCCCACTTCCTCCTCCTATTCCTGTTGACTCAGTTCCTGGCCCAATTATTGTGGGTCCTGTTCCCCCTATGCCCCAGCCCATTCCCGCTGCTCCTGTACCTCTTCCCATACCTACCCCTCAGCATATTTCTCCTAAGAGAGCAGTAACGAATTCAATGGGTAAAGCACCAGTACCTAGGCCAATCCCTATACCAGCCCCTCCTGCCCGTCAGATGCCTTTACCTATTCCTGAACCAGCCATGCCTCAACCAATCCTTGAACCTCCCATGCCTGTACCCTTTGGTGTACAGGCACCCCAGACATGGAGTTCACCCAAAGCTCCTGTGACGTCTCCTAAGTCCAGAGGAGGTTACTCTCCGAGATTGAGAAGTCCCTTAAATACTATGGCTAGAACCCCCTCTCCCCGAGCAGCACCGTCACCTCGAACTCCTGCAATATCACCTCGAGCTGCTTCTTCACCTAAAACTGTTGTTTCACCTGTACGTCCTAATAAAGCTCCAGTCAGGAATCTCTTTCCTTCAGTGCCTACTGTTGAAGGAGTTTTGGAAATTGGACAAAAACCTGATGGTTCCTATGGATACCATGTACGTCTTCCAGATGGAGGAATTATAAATATGACTAGAATAGAAATAGATGATATCAGAAAGAAGAATAATGGTATTCTTCCTGTTAAGATAGAGGTGCCTCTGTCTAAAAATAAGAAATTCTAAATTGTAAATACATAGTTTTTTAATGCTAAATTAATACAATTCATAATTGTATAATAATGCATTTTGTAAATTATTTTTTATATTGTAAATAAATGTACATTTCATAAATAATAATGACTGGGAAGTTTATTATTTTTATGTATATATGTATTTAATATATATATTTTTAATAGTTGAAGCATGGGTGTGATTCCTGTGAGTGGTTGTACCTAGACCATCAGGTTTGGCCTGGGGCAGGTTTATTTTTTAGGCCTCCTTCCATCCCTCCCTCTCCCCTCCCCCCCCCCCAAAAAAAATTAAACTATAACATTCTCATCAAAAATACACAAATATTTTACTTTCATACCATACCAAGGAATGTTCCTAAATAGAACAAGAGTAAAAAGTTTAAAGAAAAATGACAAAATAAAATATGGATGACATATAGGACAATATTTCGGAACAAGAAATAGAATATTCCATAAGATGGGGCAGAGCTCTGAAATGTTGAATGTGAAAACAAAAAACATGAGTAATAAAAGAATTTATCCCAGGAAGAAGATATTTTTTTTTCGCATACCTTCAAGAAATTACATAAAAAATCCTTCTATTATTGTATAATTTATCAAAAAAATATAATCTATTTAAAGTTCTTGTAATTTTTGTATATGTAATGAGCTTGAGACTCCCTGAATTTCCAACAAAACTAAGTAAAGAATTGTCCAAATCGCACAGGTTTTCAGCAAAGTTATAGCATTTTCAATTATTATTTTCTGTGCATCCCCCAATGGTTCATGTGCCCACTTACTTTAGTTTATCACTGAAATCTTATTGTGATTATTTCTCTGAACATTCCAGATGCTTATTTGAATGATGATTATATTGTATTTAACACCAAATACTAAAATATAAATGAGTAATTAATTAAATACCTATAAAATCTTAAGACCAATGAGCCTAGACATATAAACTCTTTTTGATTTTAACATACCACCCAAAACTTAAATGGATATAGCATTAAGACTTTGGTTTGCTTTCCTTTCAGATTTTAGAAGAAGTCTAACACATTGGTATGGTTTACTGTATCAGTCTTATGTGCTGTTGTTATGTTATATGTCGTGTATAAAATGGTGGTTGTGGATTTTTCACGTCTTAATTTTCAGCAGAGAGACTAATTCCAGCGCCGGGATCATTTTGTCCGGTTAATTAGACGGTTTTGGAATTGGCAATATCCAAAAAATATTATTTCTTTATATACAATGTACGACACATAATATTTTCGTATTTTTTTTTATGGTGTATCATTTCATGGTAACGGTTGTTCAAGAAAATAAATAATTAAATTAAAATTATTTATTTTATAGCATAACTCAAAGATAGGTTTTTCCCCATGAAAGTAGGGACTGAATTATCTGCTATCAAGTAACAAAAAAAAGCCTCAGGTGTCTTGGGTCTTACAAGTTTCAACATTTATTGCTCAGACATAAAGTTATGGAGAACAGCAAAGACATCGTTGACATAAAAATAATTCAGTCATTCCAGTCAAAAGTCCTCCAGAAAATTATAGATACACCCTTTTATGTTTCAAACCTTACATTACACGCTTTAATAATTTTCATGATCGACTGACTCTAAATTCAAATACACTTGCACAAGCCTTATCTACTGCCACAAATCCATATAATCTGCCCAGAAGGTTGCTGAGGATCTTATTTTCATTTTACTCTTTTTATTTCTTTCTTTTTTTGTTCCTTGATATGAAATTTGCTGAATACAGTAGCAGATGGCAAATTTATTGTGTCAGAAATATTTGTAACTTATAAATACAAAGTTTCTTAAAACCTATAGGAAGGTCTTGTGAGTGGACACATCTGTATAAAGTTATCATTCTATTCTCTCCTACAAAAATTGCAAGAAAAATCGGTACTTGTGAGCGACGCGGCCTCTATGGAATGCTATCTGCAGTTATCTTGTTATTTATATTTCTTATTATTAAATGTTTATAACCTGAACACTGATAATTGTTTTAAGGCACTGATAATGCCTATCTTCATATGAAATTAGACTTGTATAATAAGAAATATAAATATATTTGGTGATGCCGCTTTTTTGCCTGTTTCTTATTAATATATATGTAGCATATTCTAAATCTGATATTTTGTGTGTTTCAGGGGAGTGTAAATTAGTTCATATTTTCTGTTGCAATTTAATTTTCTAAAATCATATTGTTTTAAAAAGAACATATGTTTTTATTAGTTATGATGTAAACAATTTTTTGGAGAATTTAATAAATGAATTAAAACATTTTTTTTTAATTATATTTTAAAAATATAATAATATACATACATACATATATATATTAATAAGAAATATAAATAACAAGATAACTGCAGATAGCAATCTATAGAGGCCGCGTACCGAAAAATCTATTCCTCTCTAACTACACCACTGATTCTGTTAACACTTGATGTGAATCATGAATCTTTTTAAACTGAAGACCTACAAAGTCAGGTTGAAACGTTAGCTTTAAATAAAATAGTTAGTTACTATTTTAGTCGAGCGCCCCCCTGAACCATCTTCTTACTCAATAATGCACTACGGTCAACCATCAAATATTCAATATGAACAGTTTTAGATTTTGTTCCTTTAATTTTATGTTCCAAAACAAGATTTGTATATTTCTAGAATATTTTTTATGGATTATATGGGCTTCATCAGGTGTTATTTTTAGTTTTAATTTGTGATCTTCGAAATAATCAAAATGTATTTTTAAGAACTCAGAAAATTAGGATAGAAATGTGGGCAAGTGGTATATTTAAGGAAAATTAATTATACTAATGCCAAGTTTAATAAAATAACTGAATTGATAATATAAATAATGTCTTGTCCCTATTATAGTGTACATCGTATCGTATAAATAGCAATCAGGTAATTGTGAAATAGCCCTTAGGAATAAAAAAAAAATTCATATACAGACCAATATTAGTAAACACTTTATATTGTATTTGCCCCTAAAGTGGTAATGAAAACAACATGACATATATTCAAAACCACAACCACATATATAGACCATATATATTCAATATTAATCAATTTGTAAGTAATCTGCAGTGTTACTTGTAACAACGAGAGAGATTTACTATTTCAAACAGAATTAAACAAAAAAAAATAGTAGTCAGTATTTGACCAGTTAAGTGTTCTTTTCGAGCTAAATAATTTTTCACATGATTTCTTACATTTAACAAGTCTTTATGCTAAGTACCAACTTAATTTATTTTGCTGTGAGTAACATCTACAATATTGTAACATATCTCTTATATTTTACAAATAATAATAATATAGCCTTGGAAGCTCACTTCTTACCATTGGGATACTTCCTAAATAAATAAGGGGTTGTTTAATAATAAACAAAATTATAAGAGAATTAATATATTTAATTGTCTCATGTGTGGGTTACTCACAATCAGATCAACTCAGACAAACTATGATTATATACTGAATATTTAATTATACCTGCATACGAGGGAGACCAGGTTCTATGTGAAAACTACAGGCCCATATATCTCTCTTTGGTGGTCAATGAGGTGTACACAAGGATCCTGGAGCAGTGGGTGAGAGCATATGTCGAACCTAACATGGAAGAACAAGCTGCTTTCTGACCTTCAAGACAAACCCAGGACTATATCTTATCTCTCAGGATGGTTATAGAGAAAGCGCTGGACTAAGGACTAAATGTTTAAAGCTTCGTATCTTTAAATCTGTCTTCCTCCCGGTCTTGTTATATGGAACTGAGGGCTGGGTACTCTTGGACAAGAATGCCTCACAAGTGACTTCAGCAGAAATGAGGTATCTCAGAACAATTGCTGAAAAGACGAGACGGCGTGAGGAACAGAACAGTTATAGATATCCTTGGAGTTAGACATGTAAGGGATGTCATAGAGGAATGCCGGCCCAGTGATTAATTAGTATATAAATCAGTAAATTAATATATAAATGAAAAAAAGAAACAATATTTGTAATACAAAAAGAGTAATAATGCTTGTTATACAAGTATAGACTATTTATATGGGGTTCTTCCCTGAAAACAAATAAAGATTAAATAGAAATAAAATAAATTTAATAAAATACTACTGCCTACATGATAATAACCAATATCCTACTAAACTGGATATATATCCATACAACGAAAATATGGAACAAATCTTTATTCTAAAAGAGCTATTCAAACTTAATTCAGGATTGCAAGCCTTATTTTCCAATTTCAAAGCAGCCGATTACTCTTATTTAAAAAAAATTATGGAATAAACTCAAATTTGCATGATTGAACTGGGAGTTTGAGGAAAGCTAGTGAGATTGATGAAAGCATGTGTACAAATGAACCTAAATGTTGAGTGCTGATACAAGAAGTTTGACTAGAAAATTTATTCATATCATTATACATACTAATTTCACTTCAAGTATCAGTAGCTGATGGGGAGAGATAGTTTTCTTAACTCGAATTGATAAACATACCTCTTGATCTACTATTTCCCAAGAGGAGTTAACTGTACTAGCAATAGTTATTTATATAGAAAATGTATTATGTTATGTGATGAACAAAAGATAAAAAAGATTTTAATACAGTTTTTATAACTTTTTTTTCTTGGGTGGGCATCTTTATTGAATTTTAAAAATTTAATGTTTCATTTGAAATTGAAAGATGTTTCTTTCTTCAGTAACTACAGTAATGACCATACCAAATATCATACGATAAAAAAATATATGGATAGATTATTGAACTTTTAGTTTATTTAGAAAATTATAAAACAAGAAACATTTATAATTAACATTAATAAAGTATTACTTTGAACACCAAAATTTCAACATCCTGAAATATTCTTTTAAAACGATGATTTTTCAAATCTGTTATTCTATTTGCATTTAAAACAAATTCCTGTGAACAGAACTTCGTAAATTCTCTCACTTATTTCATCTATAATGAAAGTGGTACTATTTAATTTTAATTTTTTATTGTACCTGAA